CTCAACTCTACAATGAGACTCCATTGATGTGCTTGAGCTGTTAGATGGACATTTATGTTCTTAGCAGATGTTTTATCATCCAAACTATTTTCTAGAAAGTTCACAGAGTGTAAGTGGCAAATACTAGAATCTGTAGCTATGATGTGATTTAATGAATATGAGAAGAATGAAGCTGATGCTGTGAAAGTGCTGGATTGAGGAGAGTTACTAAAGGTCAGTCGAGTCAACAAGAGCCGCACAAATCTGATGTTCCTGCAGGTTATTGGGTGAAGTGTGGAGCTGATGAGTTTTGATTTCTGTTTTCTGTAGAGTTTCCAGTCTCTCTCAGCACCTCCTGAATCTACAGACGTAAATGATGATCTCTTCAGTTCTCTCGTCTCTTCTGATGCTCTGAGAGAATCTGTTCATCAGCTGAGAGACAAACTGGAGGATTTCTGCAAAGAGGAGCTCAAGAAGATCTCAGACAGAGGTAAAGTCCTGGAGATTCATCTGCTCTCAGAAACCAGTCCATCATCATCTCATATTATGGAGAACATCATATTAGAAATGTCTTAGGAATGGATGCAGGATCATGAGAATCACACTGTTCATGTCTGTTGATTTCCACAGTCACATTCACCAACATTGTTCCCAGAACCAGGAACCACTTCCTACAATGTAAGTCAGTAAGAAAACAAGCAGAAAAACTCACTGTGTGTTCATGTTCTTCCTGTAGAAGCTGAAAGAAGAGTTTTATAACTGATGATGTAAATGATGATTTGCACAGATATCTGCTCATCTGGGGCCAGATTCATGAAAATCTTCTTAAGATAAAGTTTTTTTTTACATTTTCATGAGTACAATTCTTAAATATATATATTTTAAAGTCCTCAAATATGTTTTATAACAACATCTTATTTTATTCTTAAGAAAAACATGACCTGACGTCGTTTTTTCCTGGAGTCTCACTGATGCAAAGCATTTCAAGGATTGTTTTTTGCGCTGCCTGCAGATATCGTAATAATAATAATAATAAGCATGCACAATATTTTTGTCACGACAAGCTGGACGGACTTGTGGCTTCACATTTTTAATTCGTCGTGTTCTTGAAAAGTCACTTTTTTTGTTCAAAGTCTTTTTATTGATATTTTACATAATATAACAACAATTTACAAAAAAGGATGAAAAAAAAACCAAATTATGTGTCATTATTATACATTATATTATGCACACTCAATCTATTCTATAAAATATTATTATTATTATATATGGGCCATTCTACAGAATTGGTGCAAACTGCCCTCCCACACCCAAAAAACACATTTAAAAAGCATTTAAGTATTCAAATCTTAGATGTTTACTAAGATCCTTCTATTATCTATTGAAACCCATAATAATATTTAAAATATCAGTAAGTTTAATATATATAAAATCATCCTTTATTAGGTACTTTCAATTGGGAGGTGGCTGTCCCGGACCCTAACCCCTAAGTTTCAACTTATGAAAATGATATTGAAATAATTTTTGTTTTTAAAAATATTATTTTGATTCTTTTAAAAAGTGCGAAAAAAATATTTATTTTATATTTTCTTTGTAAATTATGAAACTTTATGCAAAAAAATGTGTCCAGCATTTTCATGTCACTACCGAAACAATGCATGTTTTAGTCTGAGACTGAAATTAACTACACCCCTACTTGTATGATCAGGAAATATTTATGTGTGTGTCTCTCTCTCTCTCATAGCTACAGGGTGAGTAGATAGGCCCCATCATTTTGAGGTAAATGTGCTCAAAATCTGGAGTTATTTCATATCATTTAATTTTTATGTGTGTACATAAAAATTAAATGTACATAAAAATTCCCAAATTCAGAACTGTGCTAGCTAACCAATATATTTATTTTATATTTTCTTTGTAAATTATGAAACTTTATGTTAAAAAATCTGTGCCGCATTTTCCATATCACTAAAGAAACAGTGCATGTTTTAGTCCATTGGTTGAGACTGAAGTGAACTACACCCCTACATTTATGATCAGGACATATTTATGTGTCACTCTCTCTCTCATAGCTACAGGGTGAGTAGATAGGCCCCATCATTTTGAGGTAAATGTGCTCAAAATCTGGAGTTATTTCATATCATTTAATTTTTATGTGTGTACATAAAAATTAAATGTACATAAAAATTCCCAAATTCAGAACTGTGCTAGCTAACCATGTGCTGATTAGCATCTTTGAGATTGTTTCAAAAGTATCTAAAATTGTCACTTCCGAAACTTTTGGTGGAGTTTCGGTAGTGACGTCTTTGGTTTTTTAGGTGTTATCCAATAAGATTGTCACTACCGAAACAGTCACGAACGAAACATGTCATAATTGTTTCGGTAGTGACAAAAGGGAACACAAGGCAACCCAGTTGTGTTCCTCTGCGGCCAGATTAAACCTTGTTGTAGCCTATATATGCTCTATTCATTCTTTTTTAGATACCTCGCACTTTTCTGCTCAATTTTAAACAAATTAAGTGCAGTCCACTGCTGCACACGTGCCAAAATATCGATACAGGGCCAGCAGTATCGATACTCGTATCGTCAAATCTCTGTGACGATACATCGTCGTATCGATATTTTGAACACAGCACTAGCAGATAGGTCCCATCATTTAGAGATAAATGTGTTCAAAAGTCTGAAAAATCTGTGTGCGACTCTAAGGAACTTCACTACCGAAAACCTTTTTTTCTGCAATTAAGCACACTTTTTTGGGAGTTATTCCATATTTAATTTTTATGCGTGTACAACTGTTCAAAACTGTGCTGGCTAACCATGTGCTGATTAGCATCTTTGAGATAGGTTCAAAAGCATCTAAAATTGTCACTACCGAAACAGTCACATGTCATCACTGTTTCGGTAGTGACAAAAGGGAATACATAATCCTCATATTTGGGGGAAATAAACAAAATTTTAGTTCAGTTATGCACATTTTTTGTATTTTTATATGTTTTAGTAGTGTTTTAGTATGCAAGTTAAAATTCTGTAATGTGATGTGGTCACTACCAAAGCATTACTGTCACTACTGAAAATGGTATGTTTTGTCAAAAATAAAGTATACTGAATTATCAACTAAGATGTTATGATAGTGTTTGGTTTAATATATATTCTTATATATATTCTTATTCTATATATAAAACTAATGAATAATTAACTTTGAAATCAGTATGATCAACTTCAGTCAGCCACAATCAGCAGAGGCGGTGGGCTAGAGTGAGCAGAGGCGGTGGGCTAGAGTGAGCTGAGGCGGTGGGCTAGAGTGAGCTGAGGCGGTGGGCTAGAGGGAGCAGAGGCGGTGGGCTCGGGGGAGCAAGACTGCTCTCCCTGTGAAGTCCATCAGCAGTAGAATAGGAGTGTTTGTGGATCACAGTGCAGGAACTCTGTCCTTCTACAGCGTCTCTGACACAATGAGCCTCATCCACACAGTCCAGACCACATTCACTCAGACGCTCTATCCTGGGTTTTTTGTTTATAATGGATCAGTGAAACTGTGTTGATGAATCAGAATAGACTGACGAGAGATTCTACCCATAATGCTTTGAGCTGCATGATGAATCAGGAACAGTGAGATGTTATAGAGTCTCTTCTTTTCTCTTCATGACATTAATACTGCAGCTGAACTTCTGTCAGTGAAATAACACGTCAGAATAAATGTGTAATAAATCCTCATGTAAGATTTACAGATTTTCTCAAATACATAGCAAATAATTATGTAAAGCATGCACAAAGAAAAAAGAAAAATACAAACTTTTTTGTCAAATTTGTTGCTTTTTTTATATACTAAACTTTTTTAAAATGTTCTTTTTTTTGCCATTTTCTCAATGCTTCAGCCTGCTGTTCATACCATTTATGAAGTTTTTAAACATCAGAACTAAAATAATGTTTTGATAATAAAGTAGGAGTTATATGCATATGTCTCTCTCTCTCTCTCTTCAGAGGAAGTGTGCAATTACAGCTCTCTCACTCTTTGCAAACATTAACCGCCTCTGAAGCATAAAACAGTGTGTGAGTCAAACGTTGATTTCCTGTTCGCTCTCATACACACACTTCAGTTCCCGATGGCTCGTGTAAAGTCTCAGCGGAGGCCCGATCGGGGATTCGCTCGCTCTTCCAGGTCCTGAACTTTCCTGAGGAACCTTTCCAAAGTCATCAGAAACTCCCAAAAATCAGCCCAGGAAACGCAAACGAGGTTCCGATGTTCTCTCTGTCTGTTGTTCAGGTGTAATTATTCTCAGAGCGACTGTGTGTTTCAGAGTCACCGTGAATCCAGAGCCGTAATGGATGTTTATCATTGCTTTCCTGTTCCTGTTCAGTCCAAAACACAAACATGAGCAAACAAACACACACAACACAATCTCACACACACAAAATAGCCATTGCTTGCTCTGACCGGTTCACTGATTTAACAGGATAAAAGAAACCATCAAACATTTGGAGCCTTGAGAACTAGTCTAACTAGTAGTTTGCCAAGAGATAACCAGCCTTCCTTTTTTCGGGTCAAATTAGACCAATCTACATTTTTTTTGAGCCCGGTCTCATGAAAATGCGTATAAATAGTACGCCAAATAAAAACGAAAACTCGTGGTATTGATACACAAAAATGGACTTTGGCGTGCATATGATACGCATGTGTTTGGCGTGCATATAATACGCAGTTTTCACGTGCATATGATACAAAATTTGTTGGCGTGCATATGATACGCAGTTTTCGCATACATATGATACGCATCTACCCCACAACCCTAAACCTACCCATCGCGTAGCATATACACGCCAAAGTCCATTTTTGCATATCAATACCACGAGTTTTCGTTTTTATTTGGCGTACTATTTATACGCACTTTCATGAGATCGGGTTGTTTTTTTTATGTAATGAACTTCTAAGACTAGTCTAAGTAGTTTATGCAACCGGCCGAGTGCACAAAGTGATAGTCTCTAAATTGCATAAAGGACACATTAACCCTATAAATCCTGCTGTATCATATTTAATATATTAATTTCCTCTAAATGATCAACATGATCAAACTCTGCTGTTAAACTCGTTTCACACTCGATCTTCTGCATGTCTTCTGTCTCTGATTGAGACTTTAGAGTTTTTTATCCAGTCGAAGCTCTTTTAGTGTAATTGTAGAAACGTCCAGCTTCAGCTGGAGCTTCTCGTGTCAAATCTTGACTGATTTTGATCAAGTAAGCGTCAGAATAACTGCAGTAATATCTCCAGATGAACACTTACTGGACTGAAGCAGCTCAGCTTTACTTGATTCTCCATCAATCATGTTTTAGAGTCTCAAATCTGATCCTCAGGATCTTTTGAGGAGCGTTTGTTTCCAGAAGCTTTACTTTCACTGTTCCTCAGCGTAGGAATGATCTTCACAAGCCTCCAGAACATCTCACATCTTCTGAGGAGCCTTTATTTCTTCAGCTCTCAATCACTGCATTATATGTTTGGATCATTTCAATCTCATCTTACTGAGACCGATTACTGCAGATATAGAGCCACGACTGATATTTAGATCATTTTATGTCAGTATCTGCTCTACTGTTATAAAGATCTCACTGATTTACATTACAAGCAGCAGAATTTCATCTTATAAATATCAGCATCTGCAGCAAATTGCATGTTTTTACTCAGTTTGAGTCTCTGAATAACATTGAGCTGTTTTCATATTCTCACTCTATGAGACTATATGAGCCATAAAAGCCT